TGACTGCCTCTAGCTCCATTCTCAGACTAAATGTTGTTGTGTGTGGTATCATATGCCAGGCTTTGTTATGTCTTTTCTATGCACTTCTTATGCCTTTCAACAGAGCTATTAGCATAGATAGTCACATCAACTACTTGGGAATTGACATAAATCATTTATTGATTGAACTTCTGATTCTGCAGTGCCCACTGGACAGTCCCTGTACTCCTGGCCCAGTTGGATTAGAACACCAAAGTTTCATGGATCAGACCTGTCTCCATTATGCCATGTGGATAGTCCTTTCATTTATTTGATCTTTTTGTCTTCTCTGTTTCTGTTCAAGTTTGCTGTTTGTCACTGAGTATCCAGGATTATATTGCCATTAGTTAACTAGTTCGTCGACAGATTATCCTCTTTGCACGTCAGACAGTTCAGTCCATAAGTGCTCAGATCCCCTCCTCAGTAAATCCTGCAGCATATAGCGGCTGATGAAACCAGTTCTGTGTTGGTTTCTTATTCTTCTTTGGCTTCCTGCATGCTGCTCTTGTCTGGCCACACTCCTTTTAACATGTGATTCTTGTGATCTGGTCATGGTTGCAGATTCAGTCATCACATGGTTCTCACATAAGTCTCACACTAGTAGAGAATTCAGTATATCAGCGTGGTCCGTGGTATGGTACATTTGCCTGCTAAGGTAGCTTTACCTGCAAGCCAGTCATTTCCTTGCACAAATATGAAACTGCTATGCTTCAGCCCTGACTGCCTCAGAGACTCCAACCAGGAGGTTTGATCCAGCCCATCTCTGTTTTCCTGAGCATATGCATTGAGTCATTAAAAATATGCGTGGGTAGAGGTTTGCATCTCCAGTCATGTTATTGCTTTGGTCACTGCAATGACATCCATAGTCTTAACTTCTTGTAGCCAAGGCGAAAGCAAGCAAATCTTTCTTCACAATTTATTCTAACACCAGTCTGAGCTGTAAAAATCCACAAGCTTCCCACATGACAAACCACAGACCCGTCTGTGTAAACGACATCGCTCCCCTCTAGAGAACTCATGATAATCACGGACTGCACTTCAGACCTCCATACAAAAGACATCTATGACGCTGCTTACAGTTTGCTGCCGCCATCACTCTCATCGCAGCCAAGCCCTGCTTGGCTTTTATGTACTCAGTATAAGCCAAGCTTCGATCAGATCAGATCTCCAGGTATTTTATTGCCTGCGTTCTTTTCGCGTTTTCTGAGCATAGACTTACAGTTGGTGTTGGAGTGCTAGAATGTTGAGCATAGACTTACAGTTGGTGTTGGAGTGCTCGAATCTTGAGCATAGACTTACAGTTGGTGTTGGAGTGCTAGAATGTTGAGCATAGACTTACAGTTGGTGTTGGAGTGCTAGAATCTTGAGCATAGACTTACAGTTGGTGTTGGAGTGCTAGAATCTTGAGCATAGACTTACAGTTGGTGTTGGAGTGCTAGAATGTTGAGCATAGACTTACAGTTGGTGTTGGAGTGCTAGAATGTTGAGCATAGACTTACAGTTGGTGTTGGAGTGCTCGAATCTTGAGCATAGACTTACAGTTGGTGTTGGAGTGCTAGAATGTTGAGCATAGACTTACAGTTGGTGTTGGAGTGCTAGAATCTTGAGCATAGACTTACAGTTGGTGTTGGAGTGCTAGAATGTTGAGCATAGACTTACAGTTGGTGTTGGAGTGCTAGAATGTTGAGCATAGACTTACAATTGGTGTTGGAGTGCTAGAATCTTGAGCATAGACTTACAGTTGGTGTTGGAGTGCTAGAATCTTGAGCATAGACTTACAGTTGGTGTTGGAGTGCTAGAATGTTGAGCATAGACTTACAGTTGGTGTTGGAGTGCTAGAATCTTGAGCATAGACTTACAGTTGGTGTTGGAGTGCTAGAATCTTGAGCATAGACTTACAGTTGGTGTTGGAGTGCTAGAATGTTGAGCATAGACTTACAGTTGGTGTTGGAGTGCTCGAATCTTGAGCATAGACTTACAGTTGGTGTTGGAGTGCTAGAATCTTGAGCATAGACTTACATTTGGTATTGGAGTGCTAGAATGTTGAGCATAGACTTACAGTTGGTGTTGGAGTGCTAGAATCTTGAGCATAGACTTACAGTTGGTGTTGGAGTGCTAGAATCTTGAGCATAGACTTACAGTTGGTGTTGGAGTGCTAGAATGTTGAGCATAGACTTACAGTTGGTGTTGGAGTGCTCGAATCTTGAGCATAGACTTACAATTGGTGTTGGAGTGCTAGAATCTTGAGCATAGACTTACAATTGGTGTTGGAGTGCTAGAATCTTGAGCATAGACTTACATTTGGTGTTGGAGTGCTAGAATGTTGAGCATAGACTTACAGTTGGTGTTGGAGTGCTAGAATGTTGAGCATAGACTTACAGTTGGTGTTGGAGTGCTAGAATCTTGAGCATAGACTTACAGTTGGTGTTGGAGTGCTAGAATGTTGAGCATAGACTTACAGTTGGTGTTGGAGTGCTAGAATGTTGAGCATAGACTTACAGTTGGTGTTGGAGTGCTAGAATCTTGAGCATAGACTTACAGTTGGTGTTGGAGTGCTAGAATCTTGAGCATAGACTTACATTTGGTATTGGAGTGCTAGAATGTTGAGCATAGACTTACAATTGGTGTTGGAGTGCTAGAATCTTTAGCATAGACTTACAGTCGGTGTTGGAGTGCTAGAATGTTGAGCATAGACTTACAGTTGGTGTTGGAGTGCTAGAATGTTGAGCATAGACTTACAATTGGTGTTGGAGTGCTAGAATCTTGAGCATAGACTTACAGTTGGTGTTGGAGTGCTAGAATGTTGAGCATAGACTTACAGTTGGTGTTGGAGTGCTCGAATCTTGAGCATAGACTTACAGTTGGTGTTGGAGTGCTCGAATCTGTGTTTAACATTTAGGTTGTGAGAATCTATATTCAACATTAGGGTTCTAGAATCAGAAATTACCATTTAGGACACAAGAATCGGTTTTCAGCATCATGGATACAAGAATCAGTTTTCAGCATCATGGATACAAGAATCAGTTTTCAGCATCATGGATACAAGAATCAGTTTTCAGCATCATGGATACAAGAATCAGTTTTCAGCATCATGGATACAAGAATCAGTTTTCAGCATCATGGATACAAGAATCAGTTTTCAGCATCATGGATACAAGAATCAGTTTTCAGCATCATGGATACAAGAATCAGTTTTCAGCATCATGGATACAAGAATCAGTGTTCAACATTTAGGGTACTAGAATCTGTTTTATTTGCAGATTATCATTTGCAGATGACCAGGCCTTGATAGCAGATACAGCCATGAAATTGCAACAACATCTAACATCCATGAATGAAGAATGTAAAACAAATAATATGAGAATCAACACTGAAAAGACAGAAGTAATGTCAATAGGAAAAAAGAAGACAGATCTAAACATAGCAATAGAATACAAAGGCATTAAACAGGCATCTGAGTTTAAATATCTGGGAACTACATTTACCGAAGATGGGAAATTGGATAAAGAAATTGACATTAGATGCAGTAAAGCAAACCAAGTATTGGGACAGCTAGCCCCCCTCTTACAGCATAAGACAATCCCAATCAGCACAAAGAGACATCTTATTCAAAGCATATTTATTCCAACTCTGTGCTACCAGTGCCAGACATGGTCACTCACAACAAACCATAAAAGAAAATTAGTAACCACGGAAATGAGATGTCTGAGAAGGGCTGTAGGAGTGACCATAAGAGATAAGATCAGGAATGAGATCATAAGAGAACAAGTCGGCACAGAACCAATTCTGGATTAAATACAAAGACAGCAAGTGAAATGGTTTGCCCACTTAGAGAGAATGCCTTGTGACACCATACCATACAAAGCATACATGGAAAGAGAAGAAGGACGTAGAGCACAGGGTAGACCAAGAACAAGATGGAAGGATAACATCAGAGAAACTCTACAACAGCACGATGTGCCTATGGTCAAGGCAGCCAGAAGAGCTAGAAACAGAACCTTATATCTCCCTCAACACCCACAGCGGTAAAAGAGGAAGTGAAGAAGAAGAAGAAGAATCTGTTTTCAGCATTATGGACACAAGAATCTGTTTTCAGCATGATAGACACAAGAATCTGTTTTCAGCATTATGGACAGAAGAATCTGTTTTCAGCATTATTGACACAATAATCTGTTTTCAGCATTATGAACACAAGAATCAGTGTTCATCATTTAGGGTACTAGAGTCTGTTTTCAGCATTTTGGACACAAGAATCTGTTTTCAGCATTATGGACACAAGAATCTGTTTTCAGCATTATGGACACTAGAATCTGTTTACAACATTATGGACACTAGAATCTGTTTTCAGCATTATGGACACAAGAATCTGTTTTCAGCATTATGGACACAAGAATCTGTTTTCAGCATTATGGACACAAGAATCTGTTTTCAGCATTATGGACACAAGAATCTGTTTACAACATTATGGACACTAGAATCTGTTTTCAGCATTATGGACACAAGAATCTGTTTTCAGCATTATGGACACAAGAATCTGTTTTCAGCATTATGGACACTAGTTCATTGAGGGCACTTGAATCAGTGTTCATCATTTAAGGCACTAGAATCTGTTTACAACATTATGGACACAAGAATCAATGTTCAACATTTAGGGCACTACCAGAAGGGATGGGAAAACTAAATATAGCATCAGCAAGAAATGAGAAGGGACAATGTTGAGTTAATAGTCTTGAGAAGACACTGGTGTAAAACATTGAATACTTCTATTTAAAACATGAGATAAGAAAAGAAAATGAGAACTGCTGACAATTTACTGCTTTAGAATGGGATTGATTCTCAATGGTATAAGATTTACAGTGTTTGCAACAAATACTTCTGCTGACTACCTAACCAAGATTGTAGTTAGTCTGTCAAACGACCACACATTTTGAAATATTTTGTTCCGGCATAATTGTGATGTACTTATATGTTTGTGTTTTTAGTACTCTGGCAAGATGGATCCATGCAGATTTGTTGCTGTCACTAGCACAACAGCTGCTAAAGTTTTCAACATTTATCCCAAAAAGGTCAGTGTTGCCATGTTTATATGTTTACTCTGAATGTCAAGTAATTATAATTATATATCATGCATAATTTTATTATTATAACTTTTGAGAAAAGAATCGCTGACCTTTAAAGTTGAGCATTCATTTTTGTTTTCTTTCAGGGGAGAATAGCCGTAGGTTCTGATGCTGATATCGTCATCTGGAATGGTGAAGCTACTCGCACTATCAGTGCCAAAACCCATCACCAGGCTGTTGATTTTAACATCTTTGAAGGCTTAACGTGTCATGGAGTGCCTGAATATGTCATCACTGGCGGCAGTATTGTCTTGGATGAAGGCCAGGTCAGATTGCAGTTGCTATTTATGTATTATTGTGATATATCCATTTATGTTTACCTGACATCATCTTCAATATTTTTGTTGTACCGACAATTGTGTCAAGCACAGATCACATGCTCCGTTTCTCTGGCGACAATTCTTATGAAATGAAAAATTAATGTGATAAAATTGTTGCAGGAAGAAGCCGGTCACCCTAGTAGAGCCTGCCTGCTAGGGAAGAGGCAATGGATGTCCCTATGGAGTCTGTGTGCCTGGCGCCGCCCCTCCTGCGGACCAGACGTCCACGTTCACGACTGACTATCCCACAGCCATTCATCCTCCCAACACATAGATCCACTTTAGGCTTGGATTTTTTTTTCGAGGTTGTCTCCTCTAGTTTTTTCTCCCCAGCACTCTTCTGTAAAACGATTTCTGCTGCTTCTGCAGTAATTAGTGGATCATCACTTTAACCCCCTCTCCAAGTTTACATCTAATCTCTTATTATGTAGCATTTCTACTTATTATGAACATCTGAAAAGTATTATGTCTCAGTATTTTTCCACTGTATGATTTTCAACAATTACTGATATTCTGTCTGTTATTATGTTATGAAATTTTCAAAACAGTGTTTTCTTTTAGTGAATTTTTGAAATGAGACAGAAAACAATACATTACACAATTCAATACTAGGCATATGTAGCTATATGTCATCAGGTACGTTACTACAGCATTATATCAACATATAATAAAGCACAAAACAGAATTAATTCCACTGAAATACAAATGGTCTCTCAATAAGTTGTTTATCTAATCACTGTAAGTTCACAATAGTCATGCGACTTACCCGGGTAACTTCAAATTTCTAATGAATTCCTTCTGTTTACATAAGGGGGATTGTTCATTTTTATTAACGCTTTGGCTAGTTTGCAGTATTTACATTTTTGTTGCATGGTAAACTATTGTCCTTCTTGGTTACATGTCTGATATCAAGTATGTAATGTCCTAAGGAAGAGTTCCATTTCGGTTAGTTTTGATACTTTTGTGGAATCACTCCTCTGTCCACACCCAGATGACACGATTGCCTGACATGGGAGTAAAGCATCGTGAAGCACGTCTATGCTGCCTTCGAGGCTGAGATAGGAGACATACCAACTTCTCATTGGAACAATTAGTAGAAGTACCTTGAAGGAGCTGCTGCATCAGAGGAATGAGCACGCATGGGATGCCCAGTGTGCAGTGACGTCGATTGTGATAACATAACATAGCTCATCTGTTCATGGAGCCATTAGGTTCAGCTACTGTGTTTTCAAGTTATCTCTTCAATCGACCAGTGTTAGTCAACTGGCACTTACATGTAAGTTGATAAATACAGTTGGATTTGGTGTATAGAGACACTAGTTATTTAACAGGTTGGATTGAAATGGAAGTGGTCGTGTGTCTCACCACTGGCACAGCAGCAAAGAATTTTGGCCGAAAGCTGTTTTTAGTCAGATATTTATTTCTTAAGATATTTTTAAGATAATAATTTATTGAGACCTAAAATGCATGTTTCTTGTGATTTATCTTAAAATCAAAGATTATCAGATTTTAGTAACATTTTACTAGCCTGTTCCACACTTTAGATTATATTTATTATCCTTTTATTTATTATCCTTTTTTGGCCTTGTCTTTGTTTATCCATCACCCGTAAAATGGCATTCATTGTCCATTTTTCTGTGGTAGTTCTATGTTTATATCAGAACAATCACCTTTTCAATGTCTGTGTTCATAATGAAAGAAGATGCTAACGCTTTAAAGAAAAAAAATGAGCAATGTCATGAAAAATTTAAATATTGGAGAACAAATATTGTCTTGCTGTAAAGTTATGCGAGGCTCGCTTTCATTGCGAATGTGAATAAGGTTGAAGAAACTGGAATTAACGAAGATACAGTTTTCGGAGAAGAACATTGTGAACATAAAAGAATTTTATGAACGGAAATAAAAGCAAAGGTCCACTAATAATTAGCTGCAAAAGTTACAAGATCAGATATAAGAACTATATTAATGCGACAAAGAAAATCGCTTTGGGGATGATGGAGTAATTAGTCTTATTTTGGGGAAATACTGGGCAAGAGAGGCAGGCAAAAATGTATGTAATCATTTTAAGTTTTTTTTTTTTTTTTTTACTCCCAGACACTTGTTAGTTTTACACTGCTATTCCCAAATTATGGGTAAATTAGAACAACAGCCTGTGAGAGATAGGCGTTTAACTAATTCAACTACAGGACTGAATGGGTTAAAGTAATATGTGGAATAGAATGGATTATCCTTACAGAAAAGCTGAAACAGATGAGTCAAAAAATGTGTACATTCTGTAATTGATAAACCTGTGGTGAGTCAGTCAGCTGGTACTGAGAGTAATTAGATGGGCAGTATATTATTGCATAGATAGGCATCTCATTCAAGTAGCTTCATGCAAAGATCAGTTGAAACAGGAGCATAGTCATGATCACCAGTATCTGATTCAGGCACCTAGAGACGAACATGTATGCATTAACCAATGTTAGATCCAGCTTGATGTTCTGTGAGGTTTTCTTTATCATTCATGAGAATAAATGCATTACAACTTGCAGACAGCTAACATTTCAACTGTATTCTACAGCTGAAGGTGACACAAGCCCATGGCAAATTTGTTCCCACTGCACCCAACTCGCAGTATGTTTTTGGTCGCATAGGAACCAGAGATAAGGTAATCTTTCCCTAACTTTGTATTCAGTGATCTGTTTTCAGAAGTTTTTAAAGTTCTGTTTCTTGAATATGGCTTTGGTTAAGAAACCCTTTCCTTGCATGTGGCTGTCTCTACAAAAGCTGCCCTCCCATAGATCATACAGGGAAGATTCCAGCACAGTACACAAACTGTAGAGCCAGCAGGCAATCATATGTGTCCTTATTGCAGTCACCATGTACTGTACAGTCCTTCTTGTGAGTCGGTTTGTGTTCTAGAAATTGAGCTTGAGCAACTGCTTATTCGACCTCTTTTCCATTTACAGCTAGCTGCTAAAAAACTTTACAGTTTTTCATGATTGTGTTCGTTCAAGAAGGATAGATAGATGCCCACCTCATAGCCCAGGATGAGAGGAGAATATATGCTGCTTTGCTAATTTTGATAAAGCAAGCCACACATTCAGGACTGAAATGAACTGGATTTACATAAACCCCGGATGTCCAGCCATTCCAGCCCTTAAACAAGTCGTGATGGTTTCCGCTTCATGGCATTTCATAATTGTGCTGTTTCTGTGCCAGTGAACACCGCACAAAATAGCTATCACTGTTCTTCAACATTACAGCCCTTGAGGTTCATTGCTGCAGATATTACTTGCCTGTATTAATCTCTCTGACTGGCCTTCCCTTTTCAGTTGGTGACACCAAATGTTTGTAGATCGGCCTGAATATTATCTCTTTATCGTCTTCTTGGGCTACCTGGTGGTCTGCTGTCATTCAGCTCTTGTTTATGCAGTTTTTTCCTCTCTCTTTATCTGCATTCTCTCGGCTGTGGCCCAGACATTGCAAATATTAGTTATCATGATAGAAAGAAGATGCTTATGATTGTTAATGGGCTAATTATTTGTTATATTGTAAGGTAATACAGCGGTACAAATTCCGTTAGCTTAAAAGAACCACTGTAAGTAGCTTGTAATCATCTCTTCATTTACATATTTATAATTTTTAAAAGTTTCTGAAAGTGATTTCAATATTGTTACCTCACATAGTGGACCATGCCTTCTTGAACCTTTTATCCCCATCAGAGCATAGGCTCCCAACCTCTTCCACTAAGCTCCTTAGCTTGCTCTTCCTTTAATCTTTTTCTTGTGTTGCCCATCTCTGTCTCTACTTTCTCTTCCTTGTGTTTGTGCTTTATTCTTCTGTATTGTTTGCCTAATGGATACTTTCTAATGTTTCTCTTTGTCTGATCCAGCATTAGCATGTGTTTCTGCTGCATACATTTCTACTCTTGTATTGGATAGAGCTGGCACTCCTAGCATCAGTGCTATCTTGATGCAGTCACAGATTTGATGGGCAGGTCATGTCGTACGCTTGCCAGACCACATAACAGGTCGTCACATGGAGTGCGTAATATGCAAGACTCTTCATTCTCACTCAGTGGTAAATAATAGTTTTATTGTAGCAATTATTTTGTTTGTTTCAAGTTAATACTGTTGGGAAAAAATTTCAACCATTGCATGAGTAATATGTGAGAAAAGTTGCTGGCTTTACAAAAAAAGAGGCAAATATAATTTATAACATTATAAATATCTTAGATAAATTCTGTATTGAGTTGACAAGTAACAAATGGAGAAGTTCAAACAGTTTGAAATGAAGCCCAGTCAGTTAATCATTAAAGATTCAACTGAAAAAAATCTTTCTGAGATAGAGGCAAACTAAAGGTTAGATGGATAGATGAAATCAAAATATGCAGTTCAAACAGAAACAACACTGTCCCTGCAGCTCAGCAACATAAACTCCCATTTCGCTGGGTCCCAAGTCATTCACTAATGAAGCATGTGAGAGACGTGTTGTAGTGGCACAGCTTAGTATCCGCTGTAGAAAGGTTTCTCAAGATGAATTATTTTATTAAGGCTCCTGCTCCAGTCTTCCCAGTATTTATAATCTGCCTTTAAGCAGAGATAATTTTCATGAATTTCACACAGAATTTTAATCATAATAATTTATAATGGTCTGTCTTTTTTTTTTTTAAAGTTTTGTTATATGACTGCTGTTTGTCATATTTTTCAAAGACAGCACATGTCATGACACTTGAGGATGTAGTAAGCGCATATCTTGAAGACTCTAATGTGGTACAACACAGTTGTTTAATTGTGGCATCAGTTCTGTCATCGTGGCCCCCCAAAAAAAAAAAAAAATTTAAATAGCATTTTAACAACAATTAAGTATCAGTAATATGGTACCAGATGTTTTTATAGCAGTCAACACTCAGCGGTTAAAATGGTCAGCGTCACCAGGTGCCTTTGCTTTGCTTCCCATGCCATTTCCTGGTATCTTTATAAGGCTAGATCAAAGTGAAAGCCACAGTAAATTTTTAAAAAGCTGCCACTGAAACCTGCAAGAATTCTGTAGCAGCTTTCATTGATAGTGCTCAATAAATGTTACATCTGCTGTAGATTTCTGCAGATGTGGAGTCAGCTGTACAAGGTGGCAACAGATAGGATTGGGAGGGGGAGGGGGAGGGGTGAGAAAGGGCAGTAGAAGAAGAAGACTTCATCATCATATAGTAGGCCATTTGTAGAACAACACTGTCATCATAGATGGTATCTGAGACTGGTGAGATAAACAACACTGTCATCATAGATCATATCTGAGACTGTTGAGATAAACAACACTGTCATCATAGATGGTATCTGAGACTGGTGAGATAAATAATGCTGTCATCATAGATGGTATCTGAGACTGGTGAGATAAACAACACTGTCATCATAGATGGTATCTGAGACTGTTGAGATAAACAACACTGTCATCATAGATGGTATCTGAGACTGTTGAGATAAACAACACTGTCATCATAGATGGTATCTGAGACTGGTGAGATAAATAATGCTGTCATCATAGATGGTATCTGAGACTGGTGAGATAAACAACACTGTCATCATAGATGGTATCTGAGACTGGTGAGATAAACAACACTGTCATCATAGATCATATCTGAGACTGTTGAGATAAACAACACTGTCATTATAGATGGTATCTGAGACTGGTAAGATGAACAACATTGTCATCACAGATGGTATCTGAGACTGGTGAGATAAACAACACTGTCATCATAGATCATATCTGAGACTGGTGAGATAAACAACACTGTCATCATAGATCATATCTGAGACTGGTGAGATAAACAACACTGTCATCATAGATGGTATCTGAGACTGGTGAGATAAACAACACTGTCATAGATGGCATCTGAGACTGGTGCGATAAACAACACTGTCATCATAGATGGTATCTGAGACTGGTGAGATAAATAACACTGTCATCATAGATGGTATCTGAGACTGGTGAGATAAACAACACTGTCATCATAGATGGTATCTGAGACTGGTGAGATAAACAACACTGTCATCATAGATCATATCTGAGACTGTTGAGATAAACAACACTGTCATCATAGATGGTATCTGAGACTGGTGAGATAAACAATACTGTCATCATAGATGGTATCTGAGACTGTTGAGATAAACAACACTGTCATCATAGATGGTATCTGAGACTGGTGAGATAAACAACACTGTCATCATAGATGGTATCTGAGACTGGTGAGATAAACAACACTGTCATCATAGATGGTATCTGAGACTGGTGAGATAAACAACGCTGTCATCACAGATGGTATCTGAGACTGTTGAGATAAACAACACTGTCATCATAGATGGTATCTGAGACTGGTGAGATAAACAACACTGTCCTCATAGATGGTATCTGAGACTGGTGAGATAAACAACACTGTCATCATAGATGGTATCTGAGACTGGTGAGATAAACAACACTGTCATCACAGATGGTATCTGAGACTGCTGAGATAAACAACCACAATTCCAAAACAATACATTGTAAAATGCCATTGAAATACTTTTGTTTTAGTAGCGCTGAATACATTGCAGTACACTGAAGAATGATTGGTATCACTAAACAAGAAACTTGTTTTACATTTCAGGTCATCAGTTTGATGAGAAACAGCCTAAAAGACCTGCAACAAAGGTTTCAAACCCTCCTGGTGGAAAGTCATCCGGATTTTGGTAAATGTATCCAGCCATTCGTGTATCTGGAAAGGCAGATCAGATGCAATTTAAATTGTTTTTCCTAGGTGTCATAACCTGTTTTTTCATTGTTGTTGCTTCATTATTCATTTTAGCTTGCTTGTGTAGATAGATTGTGGGTGAAAAGGACCAGAGAATATGTCACCATCATAATGTTACCTTCTACTATGACCAGAATTAGCATTATGAGATGCAAATTGTGAACTTAATTTTACAATTTTTACTGCTGCGTGTTATGTATTATTGTTGAAAAGTAGTTAGAAGAACTCTTGTCCATGAATTTGCTCTTTCTACTTTTGTCGGCTTCTGATAACCTGATATGATTAGCTGCTCCAGATGGGTCTTCTGGTTTTGTTTTCATCTTCATTGTCAATTTCTTCTTCGACATCAGTCAAATATTGCCATTCTTCAGTGATGTGATCATCATCTCCATTGGTCTTGAGTGTCTCATGTTCTGCTTCCTCACATTTAACTTGCTTTGCCGGTTAACAGCTAATTGTTTGTTCTGTGATGTGAAAGTGAAGTATGTTGTGAAGAGAAACAACCAGCACACACTTTTCATTCTGTACCTCACAGAAATGTCTGTGGCATGTTCTTGGTCACAGCAGAACCTCTTATATGAGAACGTATATGTGTGTGTTTGAGAGGGACAGAGTGCGCCGTGTAAAAGCTGATCATTGACTATTCATGCCAAGGTCACATCATTATGTATACAGATGGTTCTGTGGTGAGAGATAAGAAGAGTGGCTGGGGTTATAGTGCAACGATAAATGGACACTGAAAACAAAGAGCCTTGCATACAGTGTCGCTACATCCAGTATGAGAATGGAGATATAGGCAGTAATGTCAGCTCTGATGGCTTGAGAGCAACACAGTCTGACATGTTGTAAATGTCACATAGCATGCTTCACGAAATTAAGTG